ATACATTTTGTGTGATTAACTTGATTTCTAGCATATAATTTTATAATATTCAACATCATACATAAAATTTTATATTACAGTGTCCAAACACTTTGTCAAATATCCTGATGGATCCTGCCACGTATCTACTAGCACTGGTGGAGAAGTACCCAGATCCTTTACTAGAGAATCTAAAAACCTAAAAGTCAAAATACAAAGTCATGTATTCAAATTTCTACTTAAGTAAAAGTACAGAAATATCATCATCAAAGTTTACTAAAGCTTAGTATAAAAAGCAAAAGTTCTCTGGACCTTTGACTGATATATTATATATTATATTATGTAGTATTTCACTGGTGTACCTGGGTGAGGTGGGAGTAGTTTTACTCTGTAACTCCAGTCAGCAGTTCAGTCCAGCGTTACAAAAGGGTTACATCCAAACTCCCAACCTGTCAGAGGCTACCCACCTCAACCTTCACACAACATTCAGCTCACATTCACCCTGCACGTCCACTGCATTTCCTGTTGTGTCCACTCTGTCCTGGGATCTCCCACTCAACCCAGTGCAGATGGCAAGAGAATAGAGCACTGATGGAGAACATGTCCCACTCCAAGCAGGTTGCTCTGACAACACTGACAGGTTGCATCACAGGCGGTGTGTGAAGCAGACTGCAGGTCCTTCCTTCCTGCTGCTGTCAGACCTCACAATCAACACAGCAATACTGACAAATTCACTTGTGTGCAATATAAATGCTTACTAAACTATACAATATAAATATTTCCTACATGCAATAGTGCCAATTCAACCATTGAGTTTGCTGCTATAGAAAACTGCAAATTTACCAGCTGTGTAAATAATAAAGTATCATCTTATTATCTTATTTCTCATTAACAGATCTGTTTATGAGATGGGGTTGCATCGAATGCAAGGTGTTGCTTTTTTGTGAAATTTAAAGGATACAACTGAAATGTAACAAGGTGCTCAACAAGCAAAATGCAACAATACAAAACGCAATGTGTTGTATTTTACATGTTTATCATGCATTTTTCATGCAAAATCTTAATTTGAAATGTAACAATTAACTACAGCTGTCAGATTAATGGAGTAATAAAACGTTTTTAAAAATGCCCCAAAACAAAGAAGTATTTCCCTCTGAAATGCAGTAAAGTAGAAGCATAAAGTTGCATAAAATTATACTTCAAAATTGTACTTAAGTACTGTACTTAATTGTAGCAAATGTACACCACTTTTTACTGGAGAGTCTGTTGCTCATAAAACTGTTTAGGTCAGAATTAGAAAAAAGATCTTGACTTGCAAATAACTATTGAATTATTGTCAATTCTGTTTTACTGTTCATATTTTCTTTTTTCTTACAGTTTGCAAAGGTCACGGAGGCCGAGTTTATCTGTGCTGACCTCTGTAGGATTAACTACAACACAGCAAGAAGATCCACTTCCAGAAAATTCAGATGGTTTATAGTGGATAAGTTGTGTGGATCAGTATGTTACTGAGAGCTTGAAAGGATATTTGTGTCCCAATAAACTGCATACATACAAATAAAGAAGAGCCAGTTATCATTTGTAAAACACTAATAGGTATATATATTTAAACTTTATTATAAGTTCATCTGGTGCAAGATTGTAACAAATGATAAAACTCTTTACAGGGAGTGTGAGTGCACGCCTGGTAAAACAATTTTCCTCCTTCATTAACAGACAAACAATCAAGACGTACTCGAGTTCCTTTCCCAGCCCTTTCTCTCATGTCCTTCACCTGCCATCCGAGGACACAGTCCCTTTTCTTCTCCACCTGTCTCATCTCTATTCCTTTCACAAATAAATACTTGCCCACAGCGAAACCCAGGAATAACCATCTCAACACAAGCACACACACAGACTGATAAAAAGGAGTGTGAGGTTATTCATGGGTGATCGTCACTGAAAGGTGGTGACACAATAAGGCGCAGAAAGAAAATGAAAACACACACACACACAACAAAACAATATTCTCCATGTGAGAGGACTAACAGCTTTTTGTTTGCTGATGCTGTTTGTCGTTGTGTATGTGTGTCTTTCTACATGTAATTTCCATCCTGGGATGGTTTGTAGTAAACAAGGCATTTGAAAGAAAGAAGAAAATGCTACAATGCAGACATTTGTGTTTGAAACACTGAACCATCATCACACCTTTAAGCCAAACACAAGTAAAAAGAACAGGTGCTCTTTGTGGGTCCACACAGCAACTGATACTCTTTACATGGGCCTTTGTTTTTTTACCATGAAAATAGCGGATCCTGCTTTAAATGTGTTAAGATGACAAGCTGGGAATAAAGGAGTGTTATGTTGCTTTCCCTGCTTTGACCCACCTTTAAATCAAATATCAAAACTACTCCAGAGACTCATAATAATCCTCTGTTATTGTTTTCAATGCTTTAGACCTATAGTATGTTATCCAGTGTTAGTACACTACAAAATCCAGCAATCCTGATTTGTATTCCATGTTGAGCTGTCGTTTAGCCCTTTCTAACTGCTGCGTTTACTCCACAAAGCAAACCTCTGGTTGCACTGCTGGTGTTACTGAAACAATAACAAAACATATCAAACAGACATATATTCTTAAAAATTCTGAGGTACGCACAAGTTGGGAAGACACTGACAGTGGTGCAAGTTTTCACAACAAGCCGATATTAAATTTATCACTCGCATTCACACAACTGCACTCATTTCTAAATTGTTTGAGTACATGGATGACATTAACGATTGCCACAGAGTAAGGTTTCACTAGTGAGGTTTAGCATGTACTGTATGTGTGTGTGAGAGTGTGTGTCTCAGTTTTTCTCGCTTGTGACACTATCGCTGTTTCCATTGGCCCCGTGGACAGCAGACTTGTTTTTGAATGGCAGGGCGTAGGGTTGGCGGATGTTCACCCGATCCTTTTCGGCCTCCAGATCCTCGTCGTAGCGTTCTTCTTCATCGTTGTCCTCGGTCTCGCTGTGGTGGGGGGAGGAGTGGCGGGACAGAGATGGAGATGGTGGCACAGAGGCTGGTCGCGGGTAACGGAAGCCTGAGGTCTGAAGACAAGAACCAAAAGACATCAAAATCTGTCAGTGGAGATGGAGGTGTAAACATTTCACTTCCATGAATGCAATGAATAATTAACTTACTGAGGTTGGCTCATTGAGTTCATAAATGTAGGTGTCAGGGAAGGCTTTTGCCAGGGCCATGTGACGGGCAGATATATAATACTAGAGTAGAACACAAGAAAAACAACATTATTTCATCTTCAAGTTGTCACATGCACAAAATTAGTCTTTTGGATTTGGAGTCTCACCCTGCCGAGGTATCTCCAGTCCAAGAGGTCGCTGAGACGCTCAGTCCGGTTCCTCTGGATGATGCGCTGGCGCCGGCTCTGCTTGCAGAACTGAAACAGGAAGGAGGTGAGCTGGTTACACGACTCGTCGACCCCTCGAAAACGCCGGTCCAGGATGTAAATACCTGCAAAAACAAACAGCACGGTGTGAAAGAGAGCAACACTTATTCCTATGTATCTTTTTAAAGACTTTGAGTATTATTAAGAACAGTTTAAAACAAGTATGAGAAACTCACCATATGCTGAGGGGTCTGCTATGTGTTCCTCCATAAAACAGCCAAATCCTGACAGGTTGGTTGAGATTGATGGAATTCCCATGACTGTGCACTCAGCTGATGGTGACAGAAACAGTAAGGCCTGTTTAACATTTCAATATCATACATACATACATACATACATACATACATACCTGCACACATAAATACATCATCAGTGTGTGTGAGTCATACCTGGTGTGTAGCCCCAAGGCTCATAGTAAGAGGGGAAGACGCCGAGGTGGCAGCCTCTTACAAACTCTTCATAATCCATTGGAAGTAGAGGAGAGGTGGATGAAAGGAACTCTGGATGAAAGATTATCTAAAGAAAGGGAAAGCCATTCAGCATTAGTATTATGATTATTTATCTTGGCCACAACATGCACTCTAAAAAGTCACAGTGCAGAATGATAATGACGCAGAAACTCAAATCATGTGCTCTCCCGAACGGGTAGTGACACAGTTTCTGCTCACCTACAAATTGAATCTACTGTCTAATGTTTAGGATGCCATGGCTGAACAACTATACCTAGTAAAGGTGAAAAGAACGTTTCATGGGTGCCAGGGTGATAATTTTTTGTGGTTTAGATCATTTATGGACTACTGACAACTGACATACCTTGACACGGTCCGCAGAGCTGTTGAAAAGGCCAATACGGCGGACACAGTTAAGGATGGGGTCGCTGCTGTCCTCCAGCATGTTATGGGTGCAGATTGGAGGCTGGCATTGTCTCTGAGTCGCAAAGATGGCACGCTTCATTATGGTGAAATCCTCTTTGTCGAGCATCTTCGACACATCTGGCAGCTGCCCACTGATGAAAACACATTGATTTAGATTGAAAGGAAACTTGGGGAATGGTAGGCTTGATCAATATATTATATATATATTTATAATATATGCATTTGTGTCATTTCCAAAAACAACTACTATAGGATATTTATTAGCATAAATAAACTCAACCAGCTTTGTTATATACCCAGGTCTGAAGGGAAATCTTTGGATTTTGTTTATTAACATCTTATAGGTTTCATGTAGACTGAAAGTGGTCAACTTACACCAGAAGTGACTCATAAAGTTTCTTTCCGAAGCGTTCCTTCACAGTCTGAGCAGTATCCCTGTCAGGGTTAAAAATACACTGAATACAAGGACAATAAGACAAAAACAAATCATTTTCCAAGATGAAATCAAGGTGTCTGATGGATGAGTGCAGCACTTTGGCTGTCTGGCTCACAACGTACAAATTCAGTTAGAAGCTTCATCTCAATGCTTCACCTTGTTTAACATAAGAAGAAACCTCACCAGAGCTGTTTCCTGACAGCTTGGCCCTTCAAGGTCTCCACATTGAAGTTGTTTGTCCTGGCAGGCATGATGAAGAATGCAATGACGGTTACGTCACTGTGATTGACCTGCAACAGGAAGACCATACAGGAATACATAGTTACATTTTTACACACAGGACTCACCTTCCTCCCACACACACACACACACACACACACAAACACACATAAATACACACACAAATACACACACACACAACCACAGTAACCCACACTTACTCTCAGTAGATAGTTCAGTCTGGCTAAAGCTTCCAAGAAGATGTCGGCACCCTTGTTGGAGAACTCATACCTTCCAGCGATAAAGAGGAACAAACACTTGTCCAGGTTGAAGTCAAGATGCCTGATGCCCACAAACACAAACAAAGGCCTGTCACAAGAGCTGGATGAGTGAGCACTTACAATGTTCACAATCACTACAATGACATAATAAGTACTATATCCTTCTGAATTGGATTTGTTTCTTTCTTAGATAGAATGTGAAAAAAACATGCAACGAGCAATAAAACTTATTTTGTTTATTTCAGTTCTTAAGTTGACTCTGCTGTGAATGTTGTGATGTGTCTCTGTCTGACCCGTAGAAGTGTCCCCTGACGAACTCCTGAATGCGGTTCTTGCTCTGAGCGTGGAGGTTTTGAAACTCGTGCACGGCTGAGAACTTCTTCACATTGAGTCCGTTGGGAGTGACGATGTCTGTTTGTGATGGCAAAGAATAAATGCAAAACAGGAGTAAGATATTTGTTCAAATTTAGTTAAGGATCTAATCAGCTGGGTAGCTAACATTGTTACTAGTAAGTCTTGCTTGCTGGCCCGTCCAGTGACGAGTGACAACAGAGTGAACCATTGAGGCAGTTTCTGAATTTCACACATCAGTTCACCTCCACACACCTGGTTTCCTCTTGAGCAGGTGCTCTGCCTCAATGGCTGTAATTTGTGACACAGTGGTGAAGACATGGGCACAGTGAGCAGCCGCCCGCTCCAAACAGTAGCGGTGGTAGATCTGTCTGTCGCCTGCTTCCTTATCCACGTTGAACTGAATGAGACACAAACACCAGAGAGAGAGAGTACAATGAAGTAAACAGATTGTTGAATACCTAATACATTGTATTTTTAATAATAATCTGTCTGATATTGTATTTTTAATGTATCTACAGGAGAATCAAAGTCAACTTGGCTGTTAAATGATCGCTTTCTATTACTTTGTGTTTGTTTTAATACATTCCTGTAATAAAGTGTCCACACACACACATACGTTTGCAAGCTTGTTATAGAAGTCCACATTTCCAGCACACAGGTATCGTCCCAGCAGTGTGGCGTGAGTGGTGAAGATGGTTGCGACAGGCAGCTGTCTGTGTCTACACAACACCAGACCCAGACCGGCCAACCACTCATGGAAATGGGCCACAATGTGTGGAGGCTCCTCAGACTGGGCTGCATACTGCGGTATGGGAGAAAACAGGGTCACAATAGACTACACACATGACCTAGGTTTTGATATTCCAAACCTTTAGATTATTAAGATACCTATTATTTTTATATTCTATTATTAAGACCATATCAGACTTTCCAAGGAACTACAGGTAATCTGTCTTCTTCTACACATGAACACACAGTATGTTGGCAGTTGGCAGTTCTCTCAGTGTGAGCTGCTGACCTCTCCCAGCAGCCAGGCTGTCAGGAAGCCAAACAGCACGGCATCGTTGGCCTCGCGGTCGAACCACGGCACTCCGATGTCACAGAGCTCCCACAGCTCGCTCTTCCAGGTGTCCAGAGACCAGGCGGTGAAACCGACATCAATCAGAACAACATAGGGACTGCCCTCTATAAGCCACCGCCCAAAGTAGACCTGGGGGAAAAACATTTTTATTAATTCTTTTTGCCAAACACCACCCATGGATAAGGTTTAATTTCTCTTTACAATTATTACTTTAATGGACCAGTGTGTAAGAATTAATGGCATCTAGCTGCGTAGTTGCAGATTCCAACTCCCTTGATTCACCCTCCCCTTGTTTGGCCATGAAACGCACAAACAAAAACATGGTAACTCAACATGGCGGCCTCCATGGAAGGCGACCCACTGCATCTGTAGATAAAAACAGCTCAATCTAAGGTAACAAAAACGATTCTTACTTTTAGGTGATAATACAATACTGAAAAAATTGTTGTGCATATTATATTCCATTTCTGCCCATAGATCCTCCTAAATGTTACACACTGGACCTTTTAGTGAGAAATGATTTGTGGTTAATTACTAAGTGAAGCATCATTTTACAACAAAAATATTTTTTTTCCCACATGCATTAATCAGCTATTTACTTTTTGAATATGTATTTGAATATGTAGATAAACGGTCCTCCTGTCTCTCATCTAAAAGGTATTTTTTTTAGGTCCCACTAACAAAAACATACTCCAAACTCATAATCCAAGATTAACCTTGATGAAATTTGGCTTGCTGACACAGAATCACAATCAGAGTATGTCACTTCAGGCTTAAAGTACGACTAGAATGCGGGACTTAGTTTAATGTACTAATACAGGCCTAAATAACTAAGACAGCCTCACTAACTCACTGACTAACTGTTGCTGCTCTATCGTGAGCTTAAAGGTCATGTCATTCAAGGTAAACCAGATCAGCTCCATTGAAAGAGCTGCAGTATCCCTTTAAAATAGTACCACTACCACTCCCAGCCTTGACCCATAATTCCACAGCACTCCCAGAGTGACACAGCACAAAGCATCAAAAGTATCTCACACACACACACACACACACACTGACAAGTCATCTATTTCTGGAGTGTGTCTTTCAGAAAGAGACACAGAGAGACACTGATACAACCTCTAACCTTTACGAGGAAATGTCACAGGGTTTAGAGACGTGGTCACGGACAGAAGGCTGAGCAGAGATCAAGTGGGTCAGGAATGAAAGAGGGGCTAAAGTTGATCTGCATCTGGGTTTCACTCTATAATAACCCCCCCACACACACTCACTACGTGTAGTAAGTCCTTAAGTGGAACACACAAATTTAACTCAGAGGTGTATGTGTTTACTGTGTACATGCGGTAGTACCTTACACCCACTGGAGTTCATCTTGTCAATGGTTCTCTTCAGCGCAGGGTTGGTGGGCTCGATCAGCTCCACCTGAGTGCGCACGTTGCTCTCCACGTAGGGACCCACCAGGAAATAGTTCTCGCCCCATTCCTCTGAGGTCAGACGGGCTTTGGTCTGGATGACGGTGTAGATGCCTCCAACTTCACGCATGCAGCAAACATGCCACACGTGCGCACACAAAGTCGAGACAAAGGTGTAATGTGATTCAACCTGATATATATTAGGCAGGTAGAACTAGAATTCCCTGCAGAGAATAACCTGCGTAAATATACAAGATTAGACACGAAAATACAAAAAGACAGAGACACTTGCCTTTGTTAGCGACCTCCCACGCAATTTCAAAAAGAACAGCGTCTTCCAAATCAAACTCCTCATCCCACTCCTCTAGTCCGGAGAGGGACGTGACAGACAGGCTGCGAGCCAGCGGCATGCTGGGTAAACACAGAACACGGTCAGCTGAGATGGGAGCACCTTACCACTGTGTAGACACAGTACCTGATTGTCGCTCGATGTGTGAGCAATTCACACTTCAGAAACATGCCTTTTACATTGAAATCTGTTCTTTGCTTTTATTTCTTTACAAATGAATTAAATCATAAAACATCAGGGGATGCAAAAACATTTGTTACACTTTTCTTTTTTTTTTTTTTTTAAATCAGGACTGAAAACCAATTTCCTGTGATGACAGAAACAGAAGAATTTTTTAAATCTAATTTATTGATGTAAGCTTCTCTGGATATGGTATTAAATCAACTTTACTGTCACAAATACAATCACACAGAGTACAACTTAATCTAACAAACATGTTTTGACCAGAGGAAACCCACAGACACGAGGAGAACATGCAACAGAAAGGCTCCGGCCCAGATTCGAACCGTCTTGCTGTAAGGGGACAGTGCTAACCACTGAGCCACTGTCCCGCCAGGTAAACCATCAGCTAAAGGTCAAAATGATTACACATTTTTTTAAACAATGTAAACTTTCTCTTGACCAACATTTTCTCACACAACTGCAACCAGTACAGTATGTCATCAATGAACCACACCCCCATTTTATAACACTATTACTGTATTACGTTATACTACTATGACCTAAACACAATCTCTCCAAGTTCTTTTAAAATCCTCATTCTCTCTGGTGATCACAAATGTTGTTGAACATTAAGTTAATAAACTAAACATTCGGCTGTTCTTCCTGGTCATCTACACACAGCACTGAAGTGGTACACTGAGTAATAGTAATCTAACATATGTGTGTATGTCTACAGTATTGGTTCTGCATATAATCTGAGACGGTCAAAGGACGTCTTCTAACACTACTAATTATAATTATAATGATCTCATTATCAGTGGAGACATTTAAAAAGCATACTTAAAGGAAATGTTCACTCGTGCTGGCTCGCTGTAAGATGCACCAAAAGTTCCTGCTTGCACAAATGTTGCAACCTCCTGAACAAATGGGGGAGTGGCGTGAGAGAAGATGCAGAGGTGGAGGAACTGGCACAAATAAGGGCATGGATCAGGTATAAACTTGATCCAAACGATCAAACCGTGTGACTTTTTGACATGTAGCTATGAAATGTTGTAATCGCTTTGTGTGAAGTTGAGACATATAAAAGAAAACACACACACACACAAAAACTAACCAGTGCATAAATACTTGGTTACAGTTAGACAGAGAGGAAATCCTCTTCCACAATAATCCTGTCCACATCTTTGATGTTTTTTACAATCACCAGAAATTCAGTCTGTGTGTATTGTGCCGATAAACTGATCTCAAATTCCACAGTGACAGAGCAACTACTGATAGTCGTTGACACCAGATAATGAAGTATATAATGAGTTTAGTGACATTCCATTACTGCTCAAGCCTGATAAAGGCTCAGATAAGCCAAAGCACCAACCTGATTGAGGCGTGCTGTAAACATCTTCTCAGATAAACTTTTCTTAATTTGCATGTACCTCAGATATTCACATCAGGCAGCTTTAAATAGAAGTTCAACGTCCCCTACAGACATGTTTAAAGACGTAAAAACACTCAGAATGCTTTCTTCTATCTGATGTGGTGTTTTAACATAAAATAAGTTGAACTACCTCCTTAAAAAAACTTCTTCTAGAATCTATGAATATGCAAATATCGCTCATTTCAAAGGTTTAACTGCTGGAAACATGAAATATGTCTCCTTATTTAACTGAAAACGCTGTTCTCCTCCGCTAGAGGCTCCATTTCCATATAACACTTGTGGAAGTTGCATATTCATTTAAACTAGTTGTGATGTCACAACCTCACGCTCATATGTACACATCTTAAACTCAGATTAATGATAAACTTCACCTCCTTCTGCAGGTGGAAGATGGTCTTCTAGTGTCAACCTCTGAACTTCATTCATTCTGCACAGGGAAGCTCAGACATCCAAAAGAATCAACGATAAGCAAAACATTATTTTGAGAGGAGGGGGACTAGAGGGGGACCGGGGAGACGAGTTTTAAACAAACCGGCATCCGTACACAGACTTAGAGTGCTTAGATGCTCATTTCTTCGGGGACCCCCTGGGATTCCCTGGGGCTCTCAGTGGTACACTCACCTTTCTAGTCCACCGCTTTAAGGATGCTTTATAATGTACTACTGACCCTCTGTCAATCACCATCATTCCCTTGTCTAAGTCCTACCATTTAACGAATACTTTGATTTGTTTTGTCCAGCGGGCCTACAGGTTTAACAAGAAGACCCCCCACCCACCACCATGCCTGTCCTAAATCTACGGAGGACGCTCCTCTCAGACAGCTGCTGCTCGTCCAAAGACTGCAGACAGCAGCAGCATAAGAGCAGACCTCCCGGCTGAATGCATGCGTGTGTGTGTGTGTTTTCTCATGAGTTTAACGGCGAACGTGACATGAAGCAGCTACTGCAAAGCAACCAGCTGCGGGAGCGCGCAGAGGACACAGCGTCCTGATGCGCGCCCGCGCCCGTTAAGGAAGTATTGAACTATTGTCATTACGGGAAATAAAACACTGATGTCTACTCACCCTTCGCTCTTTGTCCGAACTTTACGAAGATGAACTACACATTGGCAGCTGTCGCACTCGCTCCAAAAAAAGGAAAGCAGCGGAGAGTGAGGGAAAGGGGGCGGCGGCTTCAGTTAAATGTCAGCTGTTCACATTGGTTTGGTGGGTCCGCTGTCACGTAGAGAGGCAGGATGCCCATACACTGCGATTCAGGAAGACATTATTCATGAGATTCACTCTTATTGGCCTCAGTCTCGTCTTTGTGTCCGCCTCTGTATACAACGTGACGGGAACTGGGCGTTTTCCTCTGCCGAGAGACGCAATTGGCCGAGCAGAGGTTAAAGGGAGCTGCAGTGGTTGGTGAATTCTCATTTCATCCATACAAAAGAGGAGAGTCGTGGCCAACCGGGACACTTTTTCTTTTTTTTTTCCCAATGAGGCGAGAGGAGAGCAAAAGAGTTATTTATGTCATCTAAGGGTCATGGGGAGCATAGTTTGGGGAATACAACGTGACCAGTGACATTAAGACACCGAATCCGTCCACATGTCTGTGATCTATCCTACAGTAAACACACAGCCAGGATCTATAGTGATAAAGCTGCTAGAAATAAGTGAGTGAGTGGCCCTCTGGTCTGGTGTCAGCATATCTCCGGCCCTGTAAAGGTCTGCACTACTGAAGTATCACTGAGACTGGCGCTATCCTCCTGCCAGCTTCAAATGTGTTGTTCTGTGTTATGGATGACCTCTGACCTCTGACTGTTTACGTGTGTCTGCAGGGAGAGACAGAAAACAACAACAACTTTCAGAAATAAGTACAGACATACAGTGTATATGAAAAGGCCTAATGGTCAGTGACTGACGCCTAGGAGGTATCACTGTATGTTTTTTCTTGTAAAGCCTTGTGGGCTTAGTTGCAGAGATAGTTGAGTTCACAAGATCACAGGTTAGGTTCCTCATACCCACTCTTAACTACAGGGAAGACTGGTTCTGGTACTACGCACCTCACTACTGAAATGAACTGAAACAAATTGAAGACTCTCATTCCTCTTGGGTACTTTAAAGTTTTACTTGCTGATGTTTTTAATAGATTGTATTAGTGTGTCAGTGTGTGCGATAAATAAACTTTTGTGTGACTGAATTGTCTTATGGTGATCTTGTTATTTGTCTCAGGCTTCACTTATAGACTTTCTGGCTTCTTGAGACTTTGTGAATAAAAAAAGCCAAACTAACCCATTCAATTCAAGTTAAGTGACTCAACTGTGGAACATGGATAGACAACCAGCAATCCCATTATTAGATTTTTGGATTGCAACCCTTTGTAATTGTGTGACTATACAGTCTATACCTTCAGTCCACAAACTGAGTTCATCATTACTCAATGTAAACATTGTCTTTTAGAGGGCTGCATATCTGTGCAAAATAAAACACAATTATCTTCCTCATATTTACTATTTATTATTAAAATCCATAACCTCATATCAGGTTGACATAATTTCAAATTATATTTTTTAAGATGGATAAAGAAAATGTTTTAGATACACTTTACATTTGAACACATTTACAATACAGGTAGGGGGATATACTTACCCCGCTGTCAACAATAAAACATCTCAAAATAATCATAAGGGGAATCATTTGTTAAAGTGTTAAGATGTTTACCTGCTTTTTGTATGCTGTGCGTGTAATTTCATTAGTTAAATAAGATAAAAGTAGAAAGAAGAGTTGTTTAGTGCACTTGTTATTCTTGTCAGTAGAGTTAAATTAAATAAAAGTAGAAAGAAAGAGTAGTTTTAGTGCACATTGTTATTCTTGCTCAGTAGAGACTTCTTTACGTTGAGCCGTTTTCCCTCCCTCACAGCTGCGTACAGTGACGTATCTTTGCCGGAAACGCAAGGTTTCTTTCAAGCACTAGGTGTTGTCAAGCTGTGTCCAACTTCCGTGTCGCTCAGCGCTGAGTTTCCGCCTTACTTGTGTCGTCACTGTCCACTCCTTTGCTATTGGTCCTAGAAACAAAACGGAAATTTTTCCGCGCCTTCGCCGGTGAAAGTTCACAAATTGAAGACGAGTGGCGGGAGCTGTTGTCAACCGGGGGCTGTCGTGAAGAAGATAGGTCTGTATAAACTTATACAAAGTTAGAAACGCGCATTCGGTCGATGGTTGTGTGGCAGGTTTCACGGTGAGATGAGATCAGTCGTACGGAGAGGAACATCAGCTTTGGCGCCACACTAGTGTGTTTACGCTCGCTCCTGCTAGCTCCCTGCATTTAGCTCGTTATAAAAGAAAGCAGCTTCCCAAGTTGTACATGAACGTACCCGCTGGTAATAGTGAGGTTACTATATAGTACGACTGTAAGAGTGCTGTATTAATACGTGGATAAGTTAAAAACAACCCTGAGAAGCTTGTGAAGACACAACGTTACCAATCTATAATACTTTAGTTATGATGCTAACTGTATAATGTGTTGTATGAAGGAGGAGGAGTACAGCAGCGGCTAATGGGCTACATAATGTGTAGTATGGGAGACTGCCTCTCATTTAGTGAGACAGTGTGTCGCTCTTTACTTTTGAGCTGTGTCCAGCCTACTTGTATCTCCTCTGATGCTGTTCTGTCCTTTATCTCGTTATTTCACTTTATCCAAGCCATTAAAAAACACCCCGTGCTTGTTGTATTATATACTGCAACATGTTTTATCCCTGACATCACCAATTATTCACAGTAAGCCCGCCACAGCCTCCTCAAGCATATGCACTCCTTGTCAAATATACTGACCGTGTAAGGGATATTAACGCATACACAAACTATTGCTTATTTTCTGTCTAACATTTCATATGTACAGTAATGTCTTGGTTGTCTGTCAAAATGTTGGCTTTCTTTCAGGTTGTAATAAGCACCACCTGTTGTTCTGAGGGTTATGCCTCATACTGAGTACATATTTGATCTGCTATCATACTCTGTAAACATCTTCCCTAATGTGCCCTCTGCCTTCAATGTTTCTTGCAGACATGGATTTTAAAAGACGCAATGGTGGCCCTTTTGTTGGTGGTGCATCCCAGGCCAAACGGGGTAAAACGGCTGGTGAATGGGAGGACAGTCCATCCCAGTTTGAAGAGGAATTATCCATGTTTGATGAAGCCGAGATGGATGCAGAGGAGATGGAGGGACAGGCAGGCCATGATGTCATTCCCGTAGGTGAGTGTTGCACAGAAAAGCGTATAATGGTTGGCCATAAGTAAAATGGTATTTTTGGGGTCTGAAGCTGTTTAGTCATATAGCACCCAACCTATGTATAGTCCATGTCACATACAGATGCACATTTTCTTAAACAAGCACAACTACGCACACGGTTTATTTATTTATTTATTCAACAGAACATATTAAGTAATAATCATGTTATTTTTACAACTTGAATTTTCAAACTTTAAAGGAAGTAATTTTTAAAATATGGCTGGTAGCTCTAACAAATCAGAGTAAAATTGGTACTCCAGTCATGCCTCGAGTAAATAAAGTATGTTTGGCCCTGTTGTTTTACTTCTGTCCTTTTTTTTTGTCAGGTGACCTCTTCTCAGCAGACCTTAACCCTCGTTGGCGACGGCCTCTTGCTCCTTCACTGGACCCATCATCTGACACTCTGGTGTTTCAGCAGATTGATCTCGACTATTATTTAGGTAATTATAAAAGAGGGATTTTATAAGAAACAAGATACATAAAACTAATTCTGTGATATTTACAGTTGTTAAAGGTTTAAATATGATAGAGTATATATTACGGAGATAAAAAGATAACAGTTGAAATAGTGTTATCTTGGCTTCTTTGTTGTATGGATCTAAATAAGAGTATAGAATATTTCCATATGCTCAAATAGAGTTGCTGTATGTGAGAAGAACTTGTATCTTAATATTCTTCCACTTGTGTAATGCAGGGGCAACGGTGGCAGGCATGCCGGGCCAGTTACAAGGAAAAGTCCCGATCATTCGAATGTTTGGAGTGACAGACAGTGGCAACAGTGTGTGTTGCCATGTCCATGGTTTTGCGCCTTACTTCTATGTTCCTGCACCAAGTGGTGAGTACTTGTCATTTTTCTGCCAATACATAGGAAATGTGAATTTGAAGACTTTGTATTTTGATCTTATATGTCATTTGAGTAGTAGTAAATTACTATTAAACATTTCTCTCTTGTGAGTATGTCAGTTTTCTGTAGGATTTCAGCTTTTGGGAGGGAAAAATCTTTGCATTCATTCTTATAAATCCTATAATGTTTTGCTATTCCTGTTTACTCTGAAAAGGGTTCACGTCTAGTCACCTGGGGGAATTTAAAAAAGAGTTGAACTCCGCTGTCCTGAAGGACATGCGTTCCAATAAGGACAACATCTCCGTCACAGTGTTGGCTGTGGACATCACCCGCAAAGAGAGTGAGTACAAGTGATGTGCACAGGAATTCACTCAAGTATCTTCAGATTATTGTGGTCTGGCTGATCCTAGTTACAAAAAGATATTTTCATCATTATTCTTGGAGTTTAACTTCTTATTTTCTTTTTCTTGCAGACATGTATGGTTACCATGGGAAACGCAGTCACGATTTCTTGCGGATTACCATGGCGATGCCTCGTCTCATTGCTCCAGCAAAGAGACTGCTGGAGCAGGGCTTCAAGTTTGCACATTTCCCCATACAGGGTTACCAACCCTATGAGGCCAACATAGATTTTGAGATAAGGTGTGTGTGTGTGTGTATTCCCTGTATAAAAACACAAAATAATCTCTTTAGCCTAATAGTCAGATAAAAGCATTTTGGGCTTTTTTTTTTTACGATTTTTTTGTGAACAAATAATTTTAATACAATTACCATAAGAGTCATGGAATTGTGTGGAATTTGAATGTTATTATTCAAGTCAGGACAATAAACACAAGTTTAATCTCTACATTTATTTTGAACATTGCTTCTGTGCTCATAACTCACACAATGAGCACAGAAGAAGGAAAAACACAGTTAAGAGACACTCATTGCTGCATGAGACTGCCCACAGAATGTTTTAGGCTCATGTAAGCTGATTACTGTGGACTTTATTGTGGTGGTCTTACTTTTGTCAGGGTAAACAGGTTGTTTTTTAGTCTTCAGTAATTTTGTAGCCATATATGGCTCCAGGTAATAAAGACATCGGGGAAGCTTAATGTGCCTCTCTGT